AGAGAGAGAGAGAGAGAGAGAGAGAGAGAGAGAGAGAGAGAGAGAGAGAGAGAGAGAGAATTAAATGAAATAGGGTTTAACATGATGGACTTTAAGAAAGTTGTGATTCAGGCTTTCAGTAGGAGTCTTTATCTCATTTTAGAATATGATGGAGTTGAAGAGCCAGTAAGGTCTCTAGATATCCGTAGATTATGATGATTCTTATTATAGTCCATCACACCAGAATATGTTTGTCGGGTTCATCGGATTTGGCAATGCATATTTATATAGGCTTCATTGTAAAGCTTTGGTTTTTTATGTTTCATTTTTGGATCTTTTGAAGCCCTTCCTGCTTTCACTATGATACTTCTAGCAAGTATATTATATTCCTGCTAAATTTAATTTCTAAACTCTAATGACGTTAGCTATTCCAACCCATTATGTTTGCTAGAGTTTAATAAAGAGAGTACATTGTGTTGCTAGATAACATATTACATTTTCACAAACTCAGGAAAACAGAAATGTAGTTTAATTTTTTTCCAGAAAATGATATAATTCTCAACTAATATATTTAAAGAATGTATATGGAAAAAAATATTTCTTTGTGTGTATGAAGGTGAGTCGGTGGGTTGGCGCTCGTGTGTGTAGAAAGAGAGAAAGAGAGAGGGATTATTCCCTTAGAATGCAGTTCCCCTCGAATCTTTCACCATTGATCCCAAATCTTAAATGATTCATTGTATCTATGAATATGCTTTTGATGAACTTGCTCAGCTTACTTGGGATGTTTACCATATAGATATTTATTTGTACTGCTTAATTTATTAACATAATTTTGTAGTTTCTTTTTAATTTAAATTTCATATATCTTTTAGAGGACTAACAAGGCTGATTTAATTATTCAGCTGATATAGATCATGTGAGAGTTCATCCAAAGTTTCTCCACTCAAATGCCACAAGCCATAAATGGGCTTTAGGGGGTAATCAAGTTCTCAAAGAAGTTGTTATTTTTCATTGGATATAGTATCTTGTCTTTGTTTAGTTGATTATTTCATTTCTATTACCTCTGCAGCTTTGGCTGAGCTTTTGGACAACTCTATGGATGAGGTAAACAATTTGAGCTTCTCCAAACCCGTAGATAACGATTTGCTAATTTTTAGCTTTTAATATTATCTTACACTTTAGGTGTGTAATGGAGCTACATTTGTCAACATTGATGTGCTGAAGAATCCTAAAGATCAGACTAAAATGTTGCTTGTTGAAGGTATGTGAACTTTCTTTCTAAAGTTATTAGAATGGTTTGACTATAATATGTAACATATTTCAGGACGTTTCTTTTTTTTTTTCCTTAGGTGTTTCTTTGGTTCCTTATTTTGGAATTAAATCATCACCATATACCAAAAAAAAAAAAAAAAAAAAAAAAAAAAAAAAAAAAAAAAAAAAATGGTGCCAATGCAAGATGCTTATGGAAAATAGGGGTTTTACAAGGAGTTCATGTGTGTTATAATCCCTATATGTTAGATTGGTTGCTATTATTATTTGAACCTTGAACTTTTTGGTCACATTTTATAACTTGTGGGGTTTATTTATGATGTTATAAATTGTGGTATAAACATTTTACAAATATTAGTTTTTAAATGGTGTCATTTGTGTTATACCTAAGCAATGCTTGATGCAAGATTAGACTCTCTTTGGAGTTCAAGCTATTCAAGCTTGAATAATTACAACTACATATTATTTACCTTCTTATAAGTATTTATCTTTTATATATGTCAGCACATTAGCCACAACCATGCATCAAATTTATATCATAAATTGACTACTCTTGTTCTTTCTATATATTGTTAGATGAAGTATGGTGATAAAAAAGCTTTAATCTATCTCTTGTAAATTATTATTAACACAATAAATCACTTTTGTAGTTATTACTAAACAACTCTATTCTACATATATTTATTAACTTATCAAACTTTTAATTTGTTGTAAAATTTCTTATTATTGTCACACCCCACGCCAACCCCTCTCTACCAATCGATGAGGGATGCAATAGAGAAACACATACAATTCATCTTACATTCTAAATTCATAAACATTCCAATGATATTCATGAAATTTCACCAAATTCAACTATAAAACTAAAGCATTTTAAATATTTCATTTATCAAATAGGTAAATAAATAAAAAACCACTTATAAAGCCAAACTTTTCCCATTACAAAAACCTACATTCCTCGAATCAGAATTTATTAAATAGTTATACAACAAATTTTTTTTTTAGTTAGACTTGATTCTACTCAACTTCAACCTTATTATTGCCTTTTCTGGTAAAAACAATTAGAATAAAAATTCGGTGAGTTGTGAGACTCAAAAAGATATATAATTCTAAGGTAGAATTCAAATATCAAGAACAATGAATAATATGCATGTATTTATGATTTAATATAATTCATAATTAAAAATCCTTTACATTCTAGACATTAAAATTCATAAGCTGTAAAATGAATTAACATTTAGATGCTCACAAGAATTAGTAACAAAAAAAATGCTTGTTAAGATGTCATAGGTAAGATGATATCTTAACATTTAATGATTTAAAAAACTAACCTTGAATTTATTCATAATGATACTTCATTTAGTAATGATATTCTTTTTGACAGCTTATTTCATCATAAGCCTATGAATATGTCATGTGTAGATGTTTAAGTTTTTTGGCCATCATCATAACATAAATTAACCCTTAAGGCTTCATCATATTGTTCAAAAGTGACCAATTAAAATCCAACATTATCACGATTTTGTTATATTGAGGTTTTGATGCCTCCGTTGGGGTCCCTCTTGCCCCACCTACGTAGGTATAATAACATATTGTTGTCATCCCATCACCTAACATGACATTTCTCAGGCTTAGAAATTTCTAATCAATTTATGTAACTTGTAATTAAATGTTTAATGCATTTATGTTAAATGAATAAGTAATACAATGCTTGTATTTAAGAAAAAGGTAGATAACACATTAATTTTGTTTTCAAAATGTTATCAATTAGCAAAATTTTTATATAATCACAAGATAGTTAATTTTGAACTCAAATCACTAAAATATATGCGTGGTCGTTTGCATATAAATACTAAGTTGTAGATATACATGTATCATTATTAGGAATTTCTTATACATTTCATACTTAGCTATAGCTCAAGTATGATTGTACATGAAAAAAACTAAAGAATTTGCTTAATAAATTAGATATTATATTTCTTATCACAATGATGAGTTGCCTCCTCAATTGTGATACCTCGTAACATTTTATGCTTGTAAATTACCTACATAATCCAAATTTCTTAATTGATACAATTCCTGCCTAATAATACAAATAATTCTTTCAAAATGATGTTTTACCTCAAAACTTTCTCTCCTCAGACCTAATTCAAATCATAAATAATAATTGTGTATCGTTAACTTAGGAACTTACAAAATAAATTCTATTAAAAATGTCTACAATAAAACAACATCTTACCTCTTTTTCTTCTCTTTCCATAATTCCCTCTTCTTCTTCTTCTTCTTTTCCTACTCGAGTTCCTCGTCCAGCTACTCAGTATGCCATGCTCCCGTACACGACCTCTAAAATAGCCCAAACCGAGAGCTCCCAAAAATGATAGGTTTCAATTTGGAAGGGAAAGAACTTAAATGCCTATTTTAAATAAATTTCCTATTCCACCCTAAGTCACCACCAATGAATGCCTCCATAAGTAAGAATTCTAACTTTTTTCTTGTCCTTGTTACTATAACTTGCATAACTGAACAGTAAAAGTAATTCAAAACTTTAGAAAATATTTTAAATCGAAATGAATTCCATAGATTTCATACCTTTACAAATTAGCATATACTTCTATACTACTGATTTGCTATATTTAATGAGTAGAACACAATGGGATGCTTTTTTATGATTTTTGTGAATGTTAGTATTTTGGGTATAATTTGATTAAGAAAGCTTTGCACTTTTAACTTTGGGTATTATAATTATTCTCCCACTATTTGAGGGGATTAGCACAGTGTTTGCAACAATGCTATGATTATCTGCTAAATTAATTAATCACATCATTGAAAAATCACAAATAAAAAGTACATCTTCAGAATTTTCCCCTACTATTTAATCAGTTATGTCTTCTTGGTAAATTTTCTAGCATGCTTGATTAATTAGCACTTGTGTTTGTTATATGGAGTTTACTAGTACAAGTCCTTGTTTGCTGGGCTGAGTTGCTAGACCTTTTGTATTGCTAAATTGAAAAAAATGAATTTACATGAAAATCCTTTCAAATTATGTACAAATTAATTTATAGATTTAAATGAAGCTGATGTCTATTTAAGATAGTAGTTTCAATGAGAAACTTAGGAAATGTGTTCATAATCTTCAAGTTCTTTGAATGACAATATAAAAATATTAAAAATGTTGTCATGTCGATTTTTTCAATTTTCAACTTAAATGTTTTCTTCAGATAATGGTGGCGGGATGGACCCAGATAAAATGCGACAATGTATGTCATTGGGTTATTCAATGAAAAGCAAATCTGCAAATACAATTGGCCAATGTGAGTACTTTCCTTAAATGTAACTTTTGCTATTTCATGACTTATTTCTAAAATGTCCTTTTTATTTGATATTTATGTTTACTTTTCTGTTGCATATAATCAGATGGAAATGGATTTAAAACAAGTACAATGAGGCTAGGTGCAGATGTGATTGTATTTTCTCGTTGTCGAGGGAAGGATGGAATGAGGTTTTTTTTTCTCCCTTTTCATCAATATCCCTCCACTCATTTTTAAATTTACTCAGATGATTATGTCATAAATAGCTACGTTTGGTCAACATGCTAAAAAAACCTCTTTTTTTGGAGGATTCAAGCCCAAATCCTCCCCTTTTTGGGATAGATGGTAGTATCACTAGCCCACACACCTAGTGCTACGAGAAAAAAAAATTGTTCAATCAATAGCAATAGGCTTGGCTCATATTGATACTTTTATCTTAAGATTAAGATTTACACTTCTAACATGTTATTACTATTTTTAATGATAAGAACTTGTTAATATGTTGTCATAATGATGGAGAGGGTTAAGCGTTGCAAGAACCTCCCACCAACGTTTCTTGGGGAGGGCTTCTTGTATGAGACCTTAGCACTAGTCTCTGCCATAAGCTGTATTATTAAGTTTGAAATCAACATTTATGGGCATTACAATTTTGTCCACACCTAAATAAATTCTTGTTGTTGCTTTCTACTATTACTCTGATTTAACTGTTGAATTGTCACATTATAAGAGATTTAAGATTTTTAAATTTATCGCCTTTTCTTGGAGACCAGATAAGCTCCCATAGTTTGTTTTCTTCTGTGTTTTTTCTAATGCACTTTCTCTCAAGTAATTTGATAAAGTATTGTTTAGTTTGATAATATTGCAATACAAGTCTTTGATAAATAATGTGTTTCTAGCGTTTTTGTTTAGCAAGCTCTGATACTCACTTTTCATGTATGTTTTAGTCCAACACAGAGCATTGGTATGCTATCATACACATTTTTGAGGAATACAGGGAAGCAAGATATAATAGTTCCTTTGGTAAGCAAATTTCCCTCTCTTTTTTGTTGTTTCTCAAGTTATATTTCCAAAGAGTTTCACTCTATTTGATATCGTCTATTAGCATGTGAGTATGTGGCAAAAGAAGTTGATTTACATCTTGTTTGGACTAGGATTTGATTACCATTTTTTTTTAAATAGATTGTTTTGTTTCACCATCCATCTGTGTGTCATTTATCTCTTGACTGATTCATCTTAATGACACTCATATATCTGATCAGGTTGATTATGAAAAAAGAGATGATGATTGGCATCAAATGGAAAGATCATCTTCTGTTGCTTGGAAAACAAATATGGATTCAATTGTTAAATGGTCTCCTTACAGCAGTGAAGCTGGTCTGCTTGAACAGGTATATACCTTCGTTACTCAGGATAGGTGGATATATTAGTAACAGCATTTTTATCTCATCTTCAGTTAGTACTGAGTAGGCTTTGGTGATAGTTGTACATTCGTTATTGCCTCTAAAAATTATTTCACGGATGATGGAGCTATTTTCTAAACCTTCAAAAGTGATTGTAATGTGTTGATTTTCAAGTGATTTATTTTAGTTGTTTATGATAAAAACTTTTAAATAGAAGAATGATCACATAAAAATTCACTATACATAATTTTAATTGGTTTGTTTGCGACTTTGTTTGAAGTTAGTCTTGTATAACCATATCTTGTAAAGTAATGCTTATAGCCTTTTGATACGCCCATACCGGTCTAATAGGGACAGGTCCAGCCGACCCACCCCTTGGGTTTGCTCACCACATATAGCGGGCGGAAGCTTGAAAGGCCGCATGATCAAATTTTTGCCCCCTTGGGGTGGGGTCCACGGCTTAGGGAAGAGAGACAGGGGTTGTTTAGGCCTTTTGGATTAATTTTACATTTGCTTTAATTAGGAGTATGTATTAGGGTTAGGACATCTTTTTGGTGGCTAATTTTTTAGTGCTCTTGTTGTTCTCGGGCTCTAGCGGCGTCTAGAGAGTTTTGGAGAGATTGATCCTCCTCTCGAAAAGAGGATCGTTTGTATCTCGCTATTTTCTTTGATCTTTTAGCAATCAAGAGTATTTTTCTTATGTTTTCATCCATAAAAACCTAAAAATCCGTTAGATTAAACAGCTGAAGTTCTGATTTCAGCTATTAATTTCTATTTTCCCCTATTATATCCTATCAAATTGGTATCAGAGAAGTTTTTGGGACTATTTTTTGTCTGTTTTTGTGAAATTTGGCGGTTGATTTTTTGTCTGAAGAGGGGCTTTTTGTTGTTTTTGGGGTCGATATCCAGATTTTTGAGTCCAACAAAAATCTGGGTATCGATGGAGGCCAAGAAAGTGGATGTGTTGAAATAACGACTTGAGTGGGAGATGAGCCAAATGAAAGCAACTGTGAAGTCAAATATCTTCCATGGAAAACAAAGTTTAACATCTTCATGAGATGGTGAAGAAGATATTGAACAATCAAAATCAAACGATGGCATCAGAGGCAAGAGGTTTGGTAGGGATAAATATGAATTCTGAAATTCGTAGGAGTGAAAATGATGTGGAGATCATGGAGGAGAGGGTGGAAGGTATGGAGATAAGCTTAGTTATGGGGGGCATGAACCAAGGGGGGCTAATTGGGAAAGAAAAGAGGGGGATTATGGTAGGAGGGGTGTTGATTTTGGGAAAAAAGGTGAAGATGGGTATGGGTATGAGCGTGAAAGGGATGATAAGGAAACTTGGTGGGGATCGGGACACTTGGGGAAGGGGAAATTATGGAGGAATCATGGAAAATGGGGGATATTTGAAGGTCCGGAAGCTGAAGATGCCCATTTTTGAAGGGGAGGATGCACATGGATGGATTTATAAGGCAGAGAGGTATTTCGCCGTCAATGGGTTGAATGTAGAGGAGAAATTGATGACAACTGGCTTATGTTTAGAATGGAAGGTGTTCACTTAGTACCAATGAAGAGATATGAGGAGGCCAATACGGAGTTGGAGGGAGTTCAAGGATTGCTTATTGGAATGTTTCCAAACCGACAGGGGAGGAGAATTCTATGAGTAGTTATTAGCACTAGTACATGAAGGCTCAGTGACAGATTATCGTGAGAGATTTGAGTACCTGATGAGTCGATGAGATCAACTATCAGAGGCTGTTCTGAATGGGAATTTAATGAAGGGACTCAAATTAGAGATTCGGGCAGCAGTGAGGATCATGAGACCTCATGACTTGGGAGAGTTTATGGAGCTGGCACAATTGGTGGAGGATCAAAAGTACCAAAGAAGGGACCTAGCGACAATAGCTCAGGTGGCTCTTATAGGATGACTATCACTCTCTTAGCACCTAAAGAGCCTATATTGATAACATTCATGAGACCCCAAGGGAGAAGCCAGTAGGAGAGGGAAGTGCAGGGAACTTCAAAAAACTAAAGGAGAGGGAGATGCAGGATAATAGGGCGAAAAGATAATGCTTCAGACATGATGAGAAGTATACTCCAGGGCATAGGTGCAGGGATCAAACTCTTCAGGTTCTCACTTTCTGTGATGACGAGGAAACTGAGGGAGGTAAGAGTGAGAGAGGGGAAGAGGAGGACAAGTTTCATCTTGATATGGCAGAGGTCTCTCTGAACTCAGTAATAGTATTCACTCCAAGTCATGCCATGAAGGTGAAGGGAGAAATAGTCGACAGGGAGGTGGTGGTGTTGATTAATTGTTGGGCTACCCACAATTTCATCTCCAACCAAATTATGGATCAATTGGAGGTGACATTGGTGGATACAGGGTGTTATAGAGTGATGATGGGTACATGAAAGGTGCAGACGGGCCAGGGGATATGTGGGGGAGTAGTGTTGGCCATATAGGGGATTCAGGTGAGGGAGTATTTTCTCTAATTGGAGTTAAGGATCACTGATATCATCTTGGTGATGAAGTGGATACAGACCTTGGGGGATACCAAGGTCAACTGGGGAGCATTAACGATGGAGCTGGTGATGGAAGGGAGAAGGATAGTGATTCGGGGAGATGTAGGGCTCTCCAAAGTCATTGTATCACTTAAAATCATGGTTAGGAGCATACATGAGATAAGGGAAGGTTATCTGGTGGAGCTACATAAGCTATAGTGAGGAGCATATAGGAGGGTGGAAACATTCCTCTTTTAGTGTAACCATTGATTCAATAGTTCAGTGAGATTTTTTAGCCACCTTAAGATTTCCACCACCAAGGGAGGAGGAGCACGCTATCACCTTGAGGGAATATGTGTCACCCATCAGTGTTAGACCCTATTGCTATCCTCAAATTCAGAAGGATGAAATTGAGAAGGTTATTAGAGAGATACTGGAAGCAGGGATTACCAAGATCAGTGTGAGTCCTTTTTTTAGCCCAGTGTTACTTGTTAAGAAAAAGGATGAGAGTTGGAGGTTCTGTGTAGATTACATGGTAATGAATAAGATAACTCTGCTAGACAAATTTCCAATCCCAATGATAAATGATCTGTTGGATAAGTTGAGTGGGGTAGTTATTTTCACTAAGATAAATTTGAAGTCAGGGTACCATTATATCAGAATGAAAAGGGAGGATGTGCTGAAGACTGCTTTCAGAATTCATGATAAAAAGGGAAGTTGTGCCAAAATGCATCACTAGGAATTCATAATGCCCTTCATGAGTGATGAAAGCAGTATTTGATACATCCTTCTTTCTCATTCTGATCTGATGATACCTTGACTTCAAATATATTTTGGTGAAGATAATTGTCCCACTCAACTCATCCAATAATATATTTATCACTGTGATAGGAAACTTGTCTGACACAATTTCCTTATTTATTGCCCTGTAGTCCACACAGAATCTTCAACTCTCATCTTTTTTCTTAACCAGTGGCACTTGGCTAGAAAAAGGACTAAAATTGGGCCTGATAATTTCTACCTACAACATCTCTCTAATAAAATTCTCAATATCATCCTACTGAAATTGAGGATAGTAGTAGGGCCTGACGTTGATAGGTTACACACCTTTCTTCAAGATGATAGCATGCTCCTGCTTCATTAGTGGTGGTAATCCCTGAGGTGGTTGAAAAACTCCATTGAATTGCTGAATCAATGGTTTTACTGAAAGAGAAACCTCCACTCCCTCCTCTAATCTAATCCCCTTCAACCTGTGTAGTTCTACCAGATAACCTTCCTCCACATCCTGTATACTCCTCACCATGGTTTTAAGTGACACCAGGTCTTTAGAGAGCCCTCCCTCCTCTAATCTATATCGTAAATGCCGTCCAGCTGACCTTAGTGTCTTTCAAGGTCTGCAGCCACTTCATCCCTAAGATGATATCAGTGCTCCTTAACTCCAATGGGAGAAAATCCGCCCTCACCTGAACCCCCTGTATGGTCAGTACTACCGCTCTCCAAATCCCTTTGCCCATCTCCACCTTCCCATTATCATCATCACTCCATAACATCCTATATTCACTAATTTCACTACCAATTGGTTCACAACCTAGTTAGAGATGAAATTGTAATTAGCCCCACTGTCTTTCAACACCACTACCTCCCTTTCTGCTATTTACCCCTTCACCTTCATGTTATGATTTGGAGTGAATCCTACCACTGAGTTCAGGGATACCTCCGCCATGTTCAGATGCAGCTTGTCCTCCATCTCTCCATCTACCTCACTCTCACTTCCCTCCTCAGCTTCCTCGTCATCACAAACGGTGAGAACCTAAAGAGTTTTATCCCTACACATGTTCCCTGGAGTATACTTCTCATCACATTTGAAGTATGGTCCATTTGCCCTCTTCTCTTGCATCTCCTTCTCCATCAGCCTTTTAAAGTTTCCCCCACTTCCTCCTCCTACTGGCTTTTCCCTAAGAGTCTCTTGAAGATGGCCTGTTGTAGGACCCTTGAGTGCTAGCAAAATGGTAGTCGTCCTGTAAGAGCCACCTAAACTGCTGCCCCTGGCTCCCCTCTCAGGGTACTTCTAATCTTCTACTTGCTATGCCAGCTCCATTGCCTCTCCTAAGTCACGAGGCCTCATGACCCTCACTAGAGCCATGATATTGGATTTGAGTCCCTTCATGAAGTTTTCTCCAAAGTAATCTCCAATAGTCTCCACTCAATTGGCCTAGTGCTCAAATCTCTCACGGTAGTCTGTTACTGATCTTTCCTACACTAGTGCAAAGAATTGCTCATAGAAGTCCCCTCCCTTGCCGATTTGGAAATGTTCTAATAAGCATTCCTTGAATTCCCTCCAACTCCGTATGGGTCTCCTCTGGTCCCTCCACTGGTACCAAGACAATGCCTTCCCCTCCAAACATAAGCCACTGCCATCAATTTTTTCTCCTCCATCAGTCCATTGATAGTGAAATACCTCTCTACCTTGTAAACCCACCAGTGTG